AAGATCCCCACAGCCGTGAGATGGGAGCTGCAAGTGCCAAAGGCTTTGGATCGACCCTCAGTGGAGCGAATATGAAGGATACTGTAAAAAATGAAAGCGTAAGAGATGAGAACAGCCAGAGTAGGTGCTAAAGTATTAACACCCCCAATAATAAATAACAGAACCTCATTGATGTGAGTACTGGAACAAGAAAGAGCTAAAAGAGGGAGAATATCACAAAAATAGTGACTGACAATATGAGACCCACAGAAGGACAACATTGACATGCGGGTGGTATGGACTGTGGCCCCAAACAAACCCAGTGAATATACCACAGCCATCATTATGGAACAGACCCTATGAGACATGATGGTATTGTAGTGTAGTGGGCTACATATAGCAACATAGCGGTCATATGCCATGGCTGTCAGAAGATAGCCTTCTGCAATTACAAAAATAAGGAAGAAATAAAGCTGAGCCATGCACTCCAGAAAGGAGATAATGTTCTTCTCTGACACAAAGTTCACTAGCATCTTAGGGGTAATGACAGAGGAGTAACAAAGATCAATGAATGACAAATGACTGAGAAAATAGTACATTGGAGAATGAAGTTGTGAGCTGATGACAATTAAAATGATCATGCCCAGATTTGCCACCACAGTGACAACATATATACCAAGGAACAGCAGAAAGAGTGGCAGTTGGAGCTCTGGGTGACTTGTTAACCCTTCAAGGATAAATTCATAAACTGAGGAGTCATTTGAAGTGATCATTTCTGGAAAAATATCTATAGGAAGGAAGAAGAGAAAAGAGAGACATTAGAGTTATTTTCTGATTTTCAAAACAGACTGACACCCTCTGTCTCATCCCTGTTGATCTCATTGCTGCAAGCTTCTTCTGTCCCATGACTCTATGACTTCCACAAAGACCCTGAACATAACTCAGGGCCTTAGTGTCATGCAATACTGCTGAATGCTCGTCTTTAGATCAGAATGTTTTCATTTGTTTCCAATGTTAAGCCAATAACCACCTCATTTTGGGAGAAACCACAAACTGTCTAGACCTAGTTAATTTTTCATTAATACCATATTTTAAAAAAAACAACTGTCTACCCTATTGTTCTGGACTTCGGCTTTCAGATATGAGCCCAGGTTTCAGCTCTCTAAGACCAGGACTTTGCTCTGTAGCCATTGTTGTCATTCTTAAGTGCCATCGAGTCAGGTCAGTCTCACAGTGACCCTGCATAGTATTTCTGAGGAGCAACTGGTGAATTTGAACTGCTGACCTTGTGGTTGGCAGTCCAGTACTGCAGAAGTCCTGGTGTGGTGCTGTGGGTTAATGCGCCAGACTGCAAAGCCATTTGAATGCAAGGTCGACAGTTCAAACTCACCAGCTGCTCCTCGGAAACCCTATACAGGGTGCTATGGGTCAGAATCGACTCGACGGCACTTAAGAATAACAACAACAACAACTGCACGTACAGTTCGACACCGTGTTGATTCATGGAAACAGATAGTATTCTAAAGAAAAATGGAGTCAGAGTTTCCAGAGTACTTAACTTTAAATAGACCTATCCTTAATGACTGTGTAATTGGATCACCTCTAGATCAATGCTCTGAACTTTTCCAACCAGCCATAGGAATAAGACTGAGAGCTGACATTTTTGTTATTCATGGAGAAGTCAATATTCTTTGAAAGGCAGCACAGAGAAAGACTGAAGAAAGCCATGGTATTTTCAATAACCTCATATGCATGTGAAAGCTGCACAGTGAATAAGGAAGACTGTAGATGCTTTTGAGTTATGGTGTTGGAGGAGAATATTGAAAGTGCCGTGGACTGCCAAAAGAACAAACAGATCTGTGTTGCGAAAAGTGCAGCCAGAGTACTCCTTGGAGGCCAGGATGTCCAAACTTCGTCTCTCATATTTCAGACATATGGTCAGGAGGGACCAGTCGCTGGAGAAGGATATCATGTTTGGTAAGGAGGAGGGTCAGAGAAAAAGAGGAAGACCCCCAGTAAGATGGATTGGCAAAGTGGCAGCATCAATGGGCTCAAGTGTGGCAACAATTGTGAGGTTGGCCCAGGACTGGGCAGTGTTACATTCTGTTGTACATAGGGTCTCTATGAGTCAGTACCAACTCAATGGCACCTAACAACAACAACAACAACAACAACAACAAAAACAAGAAAAAGGGATGAATGTAGACATCATATATTCTTGGTTGAGATTCCTATAGTGGATTACACTGACTGCAATTTCCTTTTACAATCCCAAATATCAAAATCATTACTACTGGGAAGGGTTGTTCAGAGGTCAAATAAAATAGCTCCATCTCTCTGTGATTGAACAGATATCCTTACTGATTTGGGGGCTAAATTGGCTGATCTGACAGTGTAAACAAAACTCATTAGATTGTGCTTTAACAGAGACCAAGAGATTAAGAAACTCAACAAAACACAGTAATATTTCTCTTACCTATAGATATTTATCTAGTAAATTAAAATTTCAGCATTTCAATAGCCACAATGTTCCTGTTGTTCAGTGCTGTGGACTCATAGCGACCCCATGAGTATAGGTTTTTCTAGGAGTGGCTGGTGGATTTGAACTGTTAACCTTTTGGCTAGTAGTCCAGTACTAGTAGTTTATTTACTTATCAGTCTACATTAGTCCTTTCTTAAAGTCACACAATTTCTACAGTTAAGAAATAGTTTTAAGATACCTGAAAGATCAGAATAAAAACTATGCATTCAAAAGGGTGAGTAAAAATGAGAAAATTGTTTAAGAAAGCTGAAAATAGCAAGAATAGCAGTTCATAGTTAAAAAACAAGAACAAATGTCTCCAAAAAACTGTAATTTTTTTTAAAAAAAAGAAAAAGCCCTCAAATTGCAGAGTTACAAAGGACTCAGTTGAACATATGAAAGCTTTCGTATCCTAAATATCTCATGTACATGAAATTGATTGCTCTGAATCATCAAAAAAGCAATTATTTATTTTCCATATTTTTGTTGAAAACATGCAGGGAGTGTGAAATGCAATTTTTCAATTTCAATACTTTAAAATGAAGCAGTAGTAAGATATTTACATATATAAGACTTTACTGAAAATGAAATGGAATTAGAATAAATGAAAGTGGAAATAGCCCCTATCTATATAGGT